ATTAATCGGCCGATTAGGTACAATAATCGGCTTATAAATAATCGGCCTCAGTAATCGGCAATTTTCCTTATCGGCTCATCCCTAATCAACACTATAGATCATACTGGTATACACAACCACGCTTTCTACTTGACAGGTTTAAGTAGCTGAGGAGATAGGAAATATTTGCATGCCTGACACGACTGTGTTGTCAAAACATTTTTAGTCGGAGACTCGGCATAATTTTCAAGCTTCTATATAGCATTTACTATGGCTTTATATTTTAGTAAACACGAGTCAGATTTAGTAGCCTTAGAAACGTAGCCTATTTCATTGTTCCGACAGCCTATTTCACAGTTCCGATAAACGCAAAGGAAATTTCCATAACATTTTCTATTTACAAAGGTGGTATGCTTGGTAACCAGGCCAGGGACCACTTTTTTGAAATCAGGGACCATTTTACCGAAATCTGCTAGGCTGTCTCGCTGAAGCGTTCCGCACAGCACACCCAGGCATAAAACGTTTAAGTCTTATTTAAATATATCAAAGCAGCGAATAGAGAGAGAGTCTGGGACTAGGCTGGGCCAGGAGGAATCTGACACCATGCATCGTAAATAAAAAAATACAACTAAAGCAGCCACAGATTTATAATTTTCTCGTAAAAATTGTTAGATAAAAACAGACATAAATATATAAGTCGATGCTGTTTATTAATTTTATTGTTTTCATATTTGTTTTCTTTCATTAAATGACGAAATACCTCGTATTTTTCTTGAAAAACTATCCAAACTGTGTTAGTATTCTATAAAAAGTGCTGCAGAGTAAAACTACTAAGTCTAAGAGAACATTTTTTACAATTGTTTTTTTTGCAAATGTTTCGGACTTTTTACTTTGCCCTCGCGTGATCTTTTTGCCATGCATATTTTTACAAACGTACAATGCCATATAATAAAAAACTTACTGACCTCAACCGTTCGGGCAGTACGGGAAAATATTCAACCTTGGTCTTGCTGTATTGACCTCGCTATCGCTCGGTCAATACAGCAAGTCCTCGATTGGATATTTTCCCGTACTTCCCTCACTCTCGGTCAGTAAGTTATTAATAGTCTTCATTCCAGTATAAATAGCTTTGCTCACAATGACGAATTCTGCGAACATTCTCGTTGGCCCAATCCCCACCTTTCACTGCAAACTACGAAATTCGATTATTCCGACCCTCTTTTAGCATTCATCATGATCAGATATTTGGTAGCACTCGAGTGACACCATTCACTGATGTACTGCACAAGGTACTCTGGTGTAATCTCTGTTTCTCTTCGACATTTGGTACTATTTTCACCTGATCTAGGCATCAATATAGTGGTTTAGTCTAAATCAGGGAGAAGCAGAAAAATGAGTTTGTTAAATAAATAATAATTGGGAGATTCTGGCAGGGGTGTAAAAAGGATCACACAGGACCATTGGTTCAAGAAAATATTTCTCCAAGAAAGAAAAAAAAGATAATTGTAAAAATTTAATGGATAAAAGGAGTTCAGAGGAAAAATTCTAACTAATAGAAAGAATGTTACCTGTACTGTAGGTATGACCTCAGAAATGCAATTATGCATGAGTGCATCCATCTTAATAGTGCAATAGTGTGTAAATATATAGACTATAGAATAATATTATATACACAAGGTCTGGATACGAGGTATTCTGCAATCTGATTGGTTCTCTACTAGCAGGATATTAGCTCATATCCTACTAGTAGAGAAAAACAAAATGGCGGCTCAAACTGAATTTCCGATTTTTGCGAACGAGAAAACGGCAAGTTGTTCGCTTTTTGTAGCCTCTACAGGATTAAAAACACAATGAAAAGATTCCCACAAATTGTTTACAGGTTAGCAAATGAATTTTTAAAATTTAAAATGGTTAAAAATATATATTTTTGAAGAAATAATCGGCCGAAAGAGCGAAGATAAAAACATAAACAAAATAGAAAAATATTGAAAATATCCGAAAAGCAAAGTCTGTGAATTCAGACCTTGTGTATATAATAAAACAGTTATTCCACTCACTCTCGTCGAATATGAGCGATAGCCGATTCGGCGCTACGCGCCTCATCGGCTATCAGCTCATATTCGACTCGAGTTCGTAGAATAACTGTTAAATGTAACAAATGTTGTATGGCAAATGCATTTTTAGCTGGAACACCTAATTTAAATTTTCAAAATTTTCTGGGGAGCATGGATCCCCCTGGTAGTGCCCCCCCCCCTAGTTGTGCTATTTTTTAGCATCACACAGATATTTGCAGTTTTCTTCATGTTTCTTGGGATCCCAGAAAGTAAAATATTTTTCCACCCCTGGATTGCGGTCACGCAAAAAGTGTTAAATGTACGTGCAAAACACCTGGCTCGACTCCTGCCAGAGGGCCTATTTGCAGTTTTCTTGATGTTTCTTGGGATCCCAGAAAGTAAAATATTTTTTCCACCCCTGGATTCCGGTCACGCAAAAAAGTGTTAAATGTACGTGCAAAACACATGGCTCGACTCCTGCCAGAGGGCCTATTTGCAGTTTTCATGTTTCTTGGGATCTCAGAAAGTAAAATATTTTTCCACCCCTGGATTCCGGTCACGCAAAAAAGTGTTAAATGTACGTGCAAAACACCTGGCTCGACTCCTGCCAGAGGGCCTATTTGCAGTTTTCATGTTTCTTGGGATCCCAGAAAGTAAAATATTTTTCCACCCCTGGATTCCGGTCACGCAAAAAAGTGTTAAATGTACGTGCAAAACACCTGGCTCGACTCCTGCCAGAGGGCCTATTTGCAGTTTTCATGTTTCTTGGGATCCCAGAAAGTAAAATATTTTTCCACCCCTGGATTCCGGTCACGCAAAAAAGTGTTAAATGTACGTGCAAAACACCTGGCTCGACTCCTGCCAGAGGGCCTATTTGCAGTTTTCATGTTTCTTGGGATCCCAGAAAGTAAAATATTTTTCCACCCCTGGATTCCGGTCACGCAAAAAAGTGTTAAATGTACGTGCAAAACACCTGGCTCGACTCCTGCCAGAGGGCCTATTTGCAGTTTTCATGTTTCTTGGGATCCCAGAAAGTAAAATATTTTTCCACCCCTGGATTCCGGTCACGCAAAAAAGTGTTAAATGTACGTGCAAAACACCTGGCTCGACTCCTGCCAGAGGACCTATTTGCAGTTTTCGCAGCTGCTCCTGATTAGGTCTAAAATTGTATATAATATTCCGCTTGAAATTTCCATCTACAAAAACCCTTCAACTTCATGAATTACACGAGACTATTTTGTGAAGACAATAACAAGCGTTTCTAGAGTATTGATGGATAAACTTTGTTTAGAACTTTAATTTGAATCTCCTGACAGACTTACCTACTACTTAACTAATGAATAATTTTAAAATTACCGTAAATCCTCCTTGGAAGATGTTACTTATATTTAGGGCAGGTTTATGAGGTTGGGTGGGGGTAAGGCACGGACTTATAGAAAAGAGGTTCAATGAGAATGAGGTCAAAATGCATGCAGGTTAAAAGCCAATAAAGTTGGGGAAAACTCGCTTGCAAGCATGACGCAACAGAAGAAACGAAGTTGCGATGAGCTTTTGTTTAAGATAGTTCTGAGTCACAATAAACGTGAATTAATAAACCTAATCAGCTCACATGTTTCTTTGTGTAAAGGGAGAACAGGGGCTATACAAACAGAGGGGGAAGTGGCTCAACACACATCAATCAAGTTTAGGTTAGGTACGTTAACCTAAATGAAATAGAGTCTTAGATAGTACTGAATATCGTTAGGAGTGTTCCAGGAAAAGTGTATACCATAACTGTTAATTCATGATTATTTTTGATTTCTTATTTCCAACGGCTAAGTCGCTACATCAGTATATACTGGTTGACGAGTTGGGAAATGAAAATACTTATACTCCACAAGTGACGTCGATTAATCAGTTCACAATGAGATCTAACGTCATGTTATTCATGCAAAATTACATTATACATGGATATTTGAAGGAAAAGTATGAAAGCGTGAAAAGTTGATAGAATCATTAGATCAATCATTCACCTGAAAAGCAATGCTCGGCCACGGTCATTTCCGATCGCAAGGTAACCGCTCCTTGGTGAAAAGTCAAATGTTTCAACATATCGTAATGGAGTACTGGATGTCGGCCAGTTGGAAAAAACTGTAAGCGATGGAACATGGAACTGTAAATGTTAGAAGAAATGAAGGAATTATTGCCAAACCGATAACGATTTTACTGCTTCGTGCAATTAGAATTTATAATAGTAAAGATTGTACTTGGTGAACATGGGTATTTCCGCGACGTTTTGGGCTCAGTGCTCATATGATTCTAATGCGCAGAAAAAGGTTAATAACGGATATATCGGTGGTGTATAACTTGAGTGGAATGCAAGATTGGTTCACTCCCTGCATTTCGGGAAGATCGAAATAGGTCAAAGATCTAGCAGGTTTTCATATATAATATATATATTGTGTAAAATACATTACATATACTAAACTGACAAATAATCCACATCACGTACCAATCTGAATGCATTCTTGATAGACCTTGACGATATTCCAAGAATTTCACTGCAAAATGAATACACAAGAGTCTCACACACGAAATTAGTGAACTAACTGAACTTTAACTTGTTTTCCAAAAGTATCATTAATGCACCAATTCGTTAAGCAAATACTCTAAGACAATTAAGAAACCAACTATGACACACACAATGTTGTGGGAGAAGGGTTGTTGAGGAGAAATGCTCCGATTATACTTTAAACTGTGGCCAAAGTGTCGTCCCACAGACTCACTATTACAGCAATATGATTATGATATAATTATATGTCCTCAGAGGGTCGTGTTCCCCCATGCATGTTAGACTTTACCCTGCAAGGGGTAATAGCTCCCCGAGATGGGCATCCTAAATGCCCAAGGGGTAGTAGCTCCCGGTGACGGTCATTGTTTACTTTAACGTCCAAGGGGTAGTGGATCCCCGTGATGGTCATTGTTTACTTTAAAATACACTAGCTATGTAATACATTGATTTGTGTGAGTTATGGGGTTGAGGGTGACCTTTAGGAGCACTCCATCCCCTACCAAATGTTTTTATTTTTTTATTTTTACAACCAGACTTGCAAAATCAAGTCCAATACTGTACATTACAAAATCTGGACGTACCTGTAATAACATGTTAACCAGTAACTACTATATAATACTTTATTTATAACACTGCATGAATTGCAGTCCATGCGAATCTTGATGACGGATTGCATAACAAAACAATATTTACAGATTTTTTTTATATGTGTTATGATAAAGTGGTGCAAAGTCGTTGAAGGGTGGGATGGGTGGTAATTTCCAGAAAGTATTTTGCCGCAGAGGACTGGGTACAATTCAGTATATATAAGATCTTGAACCATTTTTATATGTAAATATCAAGAATTTGGGCACCTCGCTCGACAGAACTAACAGTTGAAGGGTTTTTGTAGATAAAGATTTCGAGCGAAAGATTACATAAATTTTCAGACCACCAGCTACGAAAAATGAAACAAAAGGAACCAGACCGCATGATCTATTCCTACCAGTATAGAGTATAGCAGCATTTTTCGCAGCTGCTCCTTGTTAGGTCTGAGAATTGTTTTCAACCTTCCGCTCGAAATTTCCACTACAAGAACCCTTCAATATGGTTATATGTACGCATGTTCAAAACCAATTTGATATACAGTACCTTGTACAGTTAAATTTCAGTTTATCAATTCTGGTCGTCAGATTCATTACAGCCTTAATGGGTTTTGGAAATTCGTCCTCAAAACATTGTTTATCATAAATATTAACTACACCGGAATCAGATCTAAAATAGAAAGATAAATTATAAATAAATTATATACAAAGTCACCAACAGTTGGTTTGAATATACTACAAAACCAGTTTTGGGGGAGACTCAAGCTATATATACACGATCAAGGATCTTGTCGGTGCACTCAGTGTATCATACAATTTTCTATTCTCAAGTGATCTTCCATCTCTTATTATATATGGTATGCTTTGGTATGGATGGAAAGATAATTTATCGCGCTGGAGTCTGAAATCTTTGCTCGCAGCTAAAAAACCCTGCATCACCCCTTGTGCTGTTGTAGTATGTTTCCAAAAAAACTTTCATATCAAATGGAATCCGACAATACTGTATGATCATTGTAAGGCCCTGTTCACATGAACCCGGGACAGCGTTATGTCTCGGGGCAAGCAATTGTCGCGGGACAAAAATTGTCTCGGCTCCTTAGTAAAAGAATAGTGCTGTTCACATGATATTTTACTTGTCCCGGGACAAGAATTGACCCGAGTGCCTCGCCTCTGTAGACAGGGACACTCGCCTAGCCGGGACAACTTTTCCTTATGTGAACATTTTACCCCGGGGCAACTTTGTCCCGGGATAATTGAATTTTTGGTGAAATGATCAAAATCGCGGCTAAAATTACATTTAGAGCACGTTGGACTCCACAAAACTTGTTATTTGATTAAAGATATCATTAGAAATCTATAAGTGATGATTCTAATAATATTAAAATAAAATTGTCGCTAATATCATGTTTGAAACCAAAAAGTGTAGTATGTTACTCAAAGAATTTGATCTGGTCAACAAGAAACAATGAATTGAGCACATTTTATTACGGCTGATAATCAACTACGTTCTATTTGTAAATATCATAAAAAAAGACTTGCGTTTATCAGAATGTTTTTTATTTAGCAATATTTCACCGTTTCACGTTGGCGGGAATATTTTATGATTCCGCGTAATGTATTTATAGCCATGACCCGCGCTAGCTTTGTTCATGTGAACAGACGATATCAATACCCCGGGCACAGAATAAGGCACACAGAAGGGCCACCCTGGCCGCCATCTTCCTAGCCAGTCGATTACATTTTCTGGCCAATAAACGCGCTGTATTGGATGAAGGCCCCGCCTTCTGGCCAGTCAACTGCATATTTTTGCATAGAAAAATGGTGACACGTTGCAACGCTGAGTGGCCCTTCTGGTACTGATCTTTATTCTGTGCCCCGGGTCAATGACTTGTCGCGGGGCAGTTGTTTATCCCGGGGCAGTTGTTTATCCTGGGATCATGTGAACAGGGCCTAAGTGAGGTAAATATTTTACATTTGTTTTGGACACAAATTCAAATCTCGCTCCCAGAGCCGAAGTGAAATATATCCATACGAGGTTGGGACAAATCCCAAAGAAGCTCGAAAAGCATAAATTCGTCTAATTTTTAAAAAGAAGCGGCTAAACAGAGATTTGCACTTTGGTCGCCATTTACAGAATGATATTGCATAAATATTCAATATTCTGAAAATCCGCCATGAGATTCAAGTTTCAAGAAGCAAAATACAGTATGTGTACTAAATGTGAAACTGTTCTAAAATTGTTTTGAGCCATTCCCATCCCCCACTGCGAGCAGTGATTCTAGAATCCAGCGCGGTAGATTAGAGGATTTTCTTTCCTAGAAAGCAATGAGAGGAGCTGACCGTTTAGGAGAGGCTGGCCGTTTTTGAAAGGGAAAATTGTTCTTCAACGCCTTATATCGCCTTGACAAATTTTGAGTAACGTTAATCGATATTCAGACGTTCTTGAGCTGCACAAAACTCGATTGACATTCTAAATCTTCCCTTTTCTTGTCCAACACGATCCTACATTCATAGAGGGAGCCAGGGAGGTGTTATTAAAATACATACCCACAAGCAAGATATAGACCATTAGGTGAGACAGCAAGAGCAGTCGCTTTTATACATCCTTCATCTTTAAATTTATGAATGCATCTCTTCGATTTTATATCCCAAACATACACTTCACCATCATCTAATTCAAGTTATACAAAATTAGTATTTTAAAGCGCGATTTGATATTCAACTATTGGGAAAAATGCTTTTCATAAAGCTGTCAAAGAAGCCCATTTTCCACTGGGCGAATTTGCTAGCGCGAACAGCAAAAAAGTTGGAACTGGTCCAACTTTTTCGCAGCGAATTTTTTCGCTGACCAATCACATTGCCAAGATTTGTTTTCGAATAGTGAAAAATGGGCTTGAATTTTCAAAATGCGCGTGTAGTGACATACTGCATATGAATGTTTGTAATTTGAGTGCAGCAGCTTCTATCAACTCCATTTAAGCAATAAAAAGTTTAATTTAGTGTCAAATTACGTTCGGCATGCAGAACTTTTAATCATGAGTTTCTGACACGTTGTCTTCTCACTTTTGAAAAATAGTTTTCCCTAATTTATAATTAAGGTTTTTCATTCATCATTCTCACTTATTGTACGATATTGGTTTCTTGCAATATTCTGGAATATTTGCACTTTACGTGTAGTTTAATAAACCTTCAATTAATAGACACTACTGCAAACATAAGCGGCGTAAAAATGTCATTTAAAATTTCTTTGTTTTGTGTCAGAGTAGGGTTGTAAGTTAACGAGTACGCAGGGTGCAGGCTCCGTGTTCCTCTTCTACAGTATTCTTTTCACTGAATATTTGCGCATATAGTGGAACTCAAGATTGAAATAGTTAAATTATCGCAATATGAATATCTCGACTGCTTTAGGCGACAAATTCGCTTTATCCTTTCTTGGCACTTTTATAATATTTAACTGTTTTTGCTTGCTTCTTGGCGTATGTGGAAATTGTGGAGTGATAATACACCATGCGTTGACGAATTATGATATGACACCGAACAGTGTTTTGGTGAGTAACTTGGCTGTTACAGAATAATACAGATCTTCTTGGCTGCCTTACTACATATCCAATATGGATGGCAGACATGATTGAATACATCCAAGGCACTGATAAAAACGTGGAGTTCTTTTGTAAGTTCAGTCATTCAAGTGGTTGTGTAGCTTTAGGTCTTGCTGTATTCGCACTAGTGTCTATAATTCTTGATAGATATATTTTTATCATGCGGCCTCTAAAATATCCCTTCATTATGACATTGAGAAGGACTTATACACTACTGGTGATTATCTGGTCAACTGCGTTATGTTATCTTCCCATTGCAATCCTTTATACAGGAAGAGGAAACCAACGCGGTGGTGTTACAACTCTTCTCAATTTGTCGTTACATCAGGATTTATTTTCGTTCTTCTTCCCGTTGCTGCATGTAATGGCTTACATTGTCTATGCTTACACAGACTACAAAATTTTTAAAATTTCACTGGAACAAAGTCGACGAATTGCTGAACAATTTTCGTCAGCAGTCGCTGAAACTATAGTGGGGTAAATAGAGGAATATCGCCCTATTCACCAAAGCACTTATGGCAGAGAATGACTAAGGAATTGCGATCATTACAGCTGCATTTGTCATATGCTTTGTGCCATATTGTGCCATAATTGCACTAGAAAATCTCATCTGTAGCTCATGTATTCCTGCTAGGTTACACATCACTGCATTACATCTGATGCCTGTTCACTCTATATTGAACCCATATATTTGTATCAGACATCAGAAATACAGAAAAGCTTACTGGAAACTCATTTCGACAGTATTCAGCTGTGTCTGTTAATCATGACGACCTCTGGATTGGATTATGGACAGTACGCGTCTGTACTAGATGGAGACTTTTAGTTGCTTAAAAGCAACGAATAATGTGAACACGGAAAGACGAAGACAGAAACTGTATGGAGATTGGAGACGGCGCCACTTCGAGTATTTCTGCAAAAACACCTTTTTCCAAACTCCAAATTTTTACTCACGGATGCTGCGTAGCACCACAGTTAAGCAGATTTTCCACTCGGCGAATTTGTTTCCGAATTTTTTCCAAACTCCAAATTTTTACTCACGGACGCTGCGTAGCACCACAGTTAAGCCGACTTTCCACTCGACGAATTTGTTTGCGCAAAGCGACTTTTTCCTTCCTTGTCATCGCTTCTGCTGACGTGATAAGCTATGCCGACACAGTAAGCTTCATATATATCTGGAGTGAGAACTCGAGTCCAAAAAGAGAAGCCAAAAATGGCGGAAATTGAAGAGCTATTCGGATTGACGTCAATATATATTGGACGTCAAAGTCTCTTTCTAATGTTTTTTTTTCTGGGCGGTCGGAAACGAAGCTGCCGGGGGTGTATCGAAATTTCTTATTTTGACTACTAATATTATGAAAAACTGGAATTAGCTGGCGAAAATGGTATAAAAACTGTTAACGACCTTCAGAGATATTGGACGTTAATTGCCGCCATCTTGGCTTCACTTTTCTCATAGGCCGAATGACTGAAGTTCTTGCTCCAGATATATATAGAGCTCACTGTGCCGACCAGGGCCGCCGAGAAAATTCGCGGGGCACGGGGCAAATCGTCCCTGGGGGCCCCATGACATCATTATTTTTAAGCTAGACTCAACTAGACCTTAGCTAGACTGCATTTGGATTTTGGAGGTACTGCAAGGGGCCCTCAATTTCAAAAATGCTCTGACTAATTTAAAGAACCTAATCAATTTTAGGCTCTTGCTATCAAGTTGGGCCCTATTAAGGTGGGGGCCCGGGGCAAATTTCCCCCCCCCCCCGCGGCCCTGGTGCCGACAAAGGAAAATGTCGCTTCGCGAATGTGGGCGTTCGATACGTGGCGTCAAACAATGGAAAATGACCAAGGCGTGTGCTCTGTTTACCTAAATCGGCAAATTCAATGACAAGGCAATGGCGGCATCCATGTCGTTTTTTCGAGATTTTGGTTTTATAGACATTAAAAGACGTTAAAAATTGATCTTTCATATATAGAAGTGCATGAGAAGATTGGTTCTTGTAAAAATTAAAATTTACATGTAGTAACTTTTCCTCACCTCTCTTCCAGTAAACCAAATACATGAACTTTGGTACTTACTTCCAGCAGATAACATTCGTTTTCCATCTGCGAAAAATGCTATAGTAGTCACGGAGCCATTCATCTTGAGGTCAGCCATCCACTGTTTGGTCTAAAAATGCAACGAGTATACTGAAAATTATCGCTCGATAGACTTAATGTAGGTGCATTGATATTTAATCTCACACAGCAGAGCGTTACTGACTTGTTTACCAGTTACGAAATATAAACAATGTATATACCTTGCTGGACAGGAGATACATGAATCCACTGTTCCCAGTGAACACTAAATATTTTCCGTCTGGCGATGCAAAGAAATTTGAAAACTGTTTTTCCTCTTTCCCTGAAACGATACAAAAATTATAGCTCTTTTCGCCTAAGCATGCATTATATACACATTTGTTTTGGAAATTTTTTATTTACAAACAACATGACACAAACTGTTTTAATACTGTTTTGCCAATGACCAAAATATTCAGGTGAAAGAAGACACATCAAGGTACATATGTATATACTGCATCAACAACATTAATAGTATAAAATACAGCAAAATATTCACCAGAATTAGCGTAATGAGTTTAAGGAGTTTTCTAATAGCACGAGGTTCGTGTCTACAGAAATACCTCTTATTTCTGGGATTCTGGTCACACTACCAGCAACCATATCATAACAATAGAAATGCCTTCTTTGTGAAGCCAGTATGACTTGCTCGCCATTCTCAATGAAATGTGCGGTATGGATAGGAAAGCCTTTCAAATATATCGTTTGAAGATTTGCATTCGTCTTTCCATCCACCTATCAAATAAAAAAAAATACTGTGTTTCAGTGCAGCATGGCGTCGCTAACTAAAAGTTGCAGAAACACGCAGTAAGACCATTAGGACAGCAATCTATGACACCCACTATGTAATTCTTCACAATTTCAAATACGTGTAAATGTTCAAGTGATGATTTTTCAAAGAAGAGTACTTAAAACACTTATTTATTTCACATGTAATGTACCTGGAATATACTTAACGTATTATTCAACCCAGCAACAAGAAGAATTTTCGAACTTGGATGAAACTCTAGACATTTCACAACAGCCTAAATCAGATCAAAACAAATGCACAGTCATATACTGTAATGAGGCGCCAACCTCGTTTCCAGATTCTCAAGCAGCAGCGTAGAGGAGGGAACCTTGTTTGCCGTGGGCCGTTGTGCGAAAAAGTGCGTAGAAAAGCAATTTCGTTGCAACCCCCTGGGGAATAGATTTTCTGTGGTTCAATGCATAGTACCATAGATGCTCAATTACCACAAAAAGTTCCCAAGGCAAAAAACTTGCCCAATACCGAGAAAATGAGTAATCAGTGATTTTCTAAAAAAGGGAATGTGAAATTTTGTATTCAATAGACCTCTCCCCTTATAACCAAAATTTTGATCTAGGCAAGTCTAGACAAATATTTCATCACAGCTTGAAAGAGCATCACAAAATTAGTAATATTCCAAAGTTTCGTTGCGAAATGTTGTAAAACGAGGAAAATAGAGCCTTGCAAAGTTTGCAATTTTCAGTCATTTTGCATTACAAACGGGAAATTGCAGCCCCAACACCCGAATCGGATGTCAATTTCCCGTTTGTAATACAAAATGACTGAAAAACGGCAAACTTCGCAAGGCTATATTATCCGCATTTTACAAGATTTTGCAACAAAACTTTGGAATATTACTAATTTTGTGATGCTCTTTCAAGCTGTGATGAAATTTTTGTCTAGATCGAAATTTTAGTTATAAGGGGGAAGGTCCATTGTAATGGTATGTATGTTAGAAATTTCTAAAGGACTGGGAGGCACCCACCTTTATTGTAAAGGCCAATATTAAGTTGTAATTTCCTGGCTGTGCCAAACTTTGCTATGTTACTATAACTGACACTAGACAATTTTAGTCTACAAAGGGGTGTGCACACAAGGGATACATTGGGTGCACACTTTCATTTCATACCAGGGATGCACTGTAATACTGTACATAAGGAATACATTGGATAAACACTATAGTTTTACACCAGGGCTGCACTGCAATCCATATAGAAATTATATTTGGTACACACTGTAATTTTACACAGGGACTACACTTTAATACACAGAATTACACTTGGTAAGGACCATCATATGTCATTATATAGTTGTGATACTAAACAGTATGATTTCTCCAATTTACTATTTAATAATTAGATTACGAGCTCCAGATTTCTATGACGTGAAGTTGATGAAGGCAAAGCCCGGATCAACTGTCACCTCATAGAAATTGAGAGCAAGTAATCTAATTGTTTTAGTAGAATCAGAGATCAAATATAAAATATTGCACAAAAACAATGAAACATGCAGACTGAAAGCGATTTTCTTAAAAAAATGGGCTAGGGAAATTATTGTTTTGCTACTCGCTATCTATCGAGGAATAGGTAGTGAGTAGAGTAGCCAATCAAATTACAGCATTTGCGATAGTATACTAGTATGATTCTGCTAATGGTATTTAGCACTAGTTGTTGAATGTGCCAGGAAACAGACAGTGTTTCATCAACCCAAAGACAGTTCTTACGTCACTGTATTAAACTGCACTCAATACATGAACAAGCCTTCATGCACACGCTGCAACACAAATGTCCTGGTGAAAATGACTCTGGTTTGTTGATGTCAAGACATTCCAAAAGCAAACATCGTAAGCATTGGTTTTCACTACGACAAAATGTTCTTATTTCATCCTGGATCCCTTGTTTGTTTTTTCCAATATCCCTATTATTATAATAGAGGATAGCTTTTGAATATTTCCCATCTCGACCTGCTCTCCCAGTTTCTTGAAAATACTCACGTATTGTTCTCGGGGGTCCAATGTGTATAATGTGCCTGATTGAAGGAATATCCACTCCCATTCCAAAGGCTACTGTAGCAAAAACCACTCTGACCTTCGGTGTTTCCATGCTCAATTGTAGCAGAATCTCATCCTTCATTCTGGCTGTTTGTGGCGCATGAAATTGGGCAAACAGTCTATTCTTTGGAAGTGGCATGGCACCAAAAGGATGATATTGATGAATATTAAGGATACTTTCGAAAAGCCTGTACACAAAACCACACCATTTCAAAGGCATGTAAATAATTGTTAGAGGATAGTCAATTTTCATGTCCAGCAGGTCAATAGCAATTGGTCTACAAATATTCTCAAAAGCATCAATATCTTGACCATGTCTGAATATTTTTTCATAAAAAATATTACTTCTATCAGGGTTAGCAACCAATTCATAGCAATTTTCCAAACCAAGTGACTCCTTTATTTGCATCCGGTCGATGTTATTAGCTGTAGCAGTCATTGCAATTACTGGTACATTGGGAAATGTTGCACACAGCATGATAAGTTTCCCATAGGCTGGTCTGAAATCATCTCCCCTAAACAAAATTAATACAATATTAATAATGCGATATTTTAGCTAATGATATCTAAAAAAACTAAAAAAAAAGCAGCAGACATTTCCATGTATGTGGCCCTATAAATTGATAATACTGTAACTAACAGATAAAGCTATATCGAAAAGATTATATTAAAGGGTAAAATTCTGAGTTTCAGCAGGAAAAAGAAGCAAACTTATAATTCTGATTTGAAACCTACCATTCAAGAATGCAATGAGCTTCATCAATTACAATGGCGCAGACATTTTTTTGATATATTGGACTGTTAGCCAGTTCTCGTCCAAATTTACACGAGATGAATGCCTCAGGATGGGCGAATAATATGTTATAACAACCACTGGCAAGTTCTTCCTTCTTGCCATGCTTATCAACATCAAACTCCTCGTTGTCATCAGTTGTGGACTGCTGTGATACATTTAGTGAGGACACCCTAAGACCCGTCGTCAATAACTTGCGAATTTGGTCGCTTATTAAGGAGTTTAACGGCGATATTACCAGTAATACTGTAGTTACGTCGCCAATGGATATAATACCTCGATTGGGATCTTCTTCGAACACCTTCTTACGAAACAGAATTAAAGGTAAAAGTTGGTATATTAAAGACTTGCCATAACCAGTAGGAAGGACAGCCAATATATCTTCGCCCAAAAAAATCTTTTCCAAACAGATTACCTGCTTCGGCTTTAAATTAACATCGGAATATAAACTATGGATAATAGAAAAGTGTAAACACACGAGAAAATGCAGGCATTTCGAATCCTTTTGCATCTTTGAGGCTATTATTATAAATCAATTCGCTGTCAAATTTCCACTCAAAGTCTCGAATTATAATATGTCTAGCCTGCGAGCAGGCTCTCTGGGGAAAGAGAGCCTGCAAGGATCCCTATGATGATTGCGTGCCACCCTTCAATTATGATGTCACAGGTCAATTAATAACAACCAATCAGCGCAGACCGGAATACACTACGATATTGTAAACATAAACCGATTCGTTTCAAATTCGTTAATAGTTTCGTATACAGACCGCCACTGTGGCATACTAAAAAGTTAAAACGGCTCGAGGTTTTACAGAGTAATATATCAAGTTGTACTTTTTATTACAATCTGCATGTGTTTCTCCTGTAGGCACAGTAAGTTTAAAGTTGTATATTACCCGCTAACTAATTCAGTTATTTGGAATTGCTTCGTGCTGCAATATATAATATACACTGTATACAGTCTATATATAGTAATAATATAACTTACTGAAATTTATGGCTTTGGTGAGACATAGACATATATGATATACCATGGACATAATTTAATAATATGTTTATAGTTCAAATTTTGCAACAAAAAGTGGAATTGCAGTAAACATGCATGTGATAATTATTGTAAACAAAGTGACGAGTAAATTACTGTACATTTTAACGCCGCATACTTATAAATATTAAATAGTCAGTATAACATTGTAAAACAAGCTTAATACACACAGTAAGCCATATGCACTGAATATTATCAGAATTCCCAATATTGTTTCATAAAAGAGAAGCGATATAATGCCTTGTCCCTAGGTTTCGGTTTGCGAATTTGTGCAGTCTTTCTCAAGAATTATTCTTAGCTTAGGAGTCAGACAAGCCAAGGACACAATAAAGCATGCAAGCTTTTAGTATTCGTCTTTATATGAATACTATATTAATTTACAGTAAAAAGTCAACCAGGATCAAAATACATGACACTTTTATCTCGACATTGCCGCAATTCCGAAGCTTTGCGTTGCTCGGTTTTACAAACGGGAAGTGCAAGTTTATGGAAGCTTGTCAATCACTTCCTATGAATCAGTTATCAACCAATCAGAGCACTGCGTCCAAATATTGGACGCATGCACCGAATCATCAAAGGGATCCTTGCAGGCTCTCTTTCCCCAGAGAGCCTGCTCGCAGGCTATAATATGTCCCGCTCACTCCTGCGAAACAAGATATCAAACCGGAAGCTGCTATTAACAGTATATCGTATTTCAACCACCCCCCCTAGGGACCTCATGTGGCGATTATTTTTTGTGGGTCACGTGACCAGTGTCAACCAGGGTCTTTGCCGTAGCCCGCGGAGGTATAAAGACCCTGGCTTGCGAGGTTGTCAATTCCATTGGCTGGCGTGAGATCAATGACACCGATACCGGAAATTGGTGTTCAAGTGCAGGAATTACACTTGGAAATTGCCGAATACGACGTAAACAAAGTCGAAATTACATTTATTTGCAAGATTTCAAATACAAGTTAAATGTTACATTAATTCTGATTGAGGATTTACCTACGATCTGTATCTGTTATGGCAAATACTTTTTCTTGTTTACCGATATGAAAGCGACTGACATGGCTGAATTCCCGAAACAGATGTAATAAAATATTTACTTCAATTCAATTGCGCTAGTGATCGCCAGTGTTGGGATTTTAGCTTGTCGTTCTGGACTTGTGTTTGCCGTTTGGACATACGAGCATAGAATTTGTGTGTGGATATAAGACTCTTTTTGAGTATACCATAATATTCATATAACTGTATAAATATATTAAAGTATTAAATTCAGTGAGCCATGGATCTGTTACAAATACATCAAGGCCATACTATAGTGGTGAAATATTCGTGAAAGTAATAATTTTATAACAAATCTACTGTTAATTTAAGCCCTCCACATCCTCTCAAATTGATATTACAAGCTATAGTTTCTAGACTCCATGCCTGAAATAAATAAGCTGCTTGGCCAGCTTGGGGCTTAACAGAAAATAAACAGGACAGCAGTGTAGGGTGCAAACCACTCTCCCATTTCTGAAAGCCTTTGGATGATATAACATCGGTCATCCATGAAAGCATAGGTTGGGAATAAAATAAGCTGTAAATTGCCAGAATTTTGAGGCCATATTTAAAGAACTGAGATTTAGAGCACCATAAGGTGTTCATGTTGTGGCAACCTAAATTCAGCATTCCCACCAAGTGGCTGCTACTGCAGTAAGAGAATACAATTTTGATGTGCTGAAATTATATATGCTAACAATACCAGTATGACTACGACCAGTGGTGTAGTCCTGGAATGTTAACAAGGGGGGCTCTCCAACAGGGGGCGAAACTTCTGTATTACAGCTGGGGGGTAACTTGTTTTGCCTGACCAAAAGGGCATTTCCGATGTCGTTCCTGAGGAACGAACATTTGACCAGTTGCTAATTAATATTTCTTTTCAAAATTGTTGGTGAGCGTTGCATTTTTCACTACCACTATTTCAATCTGAGCATATGATCTGAGACACTCAAATATTTTCAAAATTTGCCCGACTAAATTGTATGGGTATACCCGATGAGATAGAGACGGGGTGTCACCCACACTTTCGTCCCTGTTCTCCAAAAGTTCAGAACTTTCGGGGGGGGGGGGGTGTTTGCAATATGATATTTTGGAAATTTTGTTGTGTTTTTTTTCTAACAATTGTGACATCAATGGGACTTATTAAAAACAATGGCCGTTAGTAATATAAAATATTCTGAGCGTCTCAAAAGGGTATGTAATTAATTCAAGGTTTCTGTACCACTTTTTGTAGATGCAATTCTATTAACAGCATTCTCATTTAAGATTATGTAAAAAAAATATAGAGGGGGAGGGCTCAGAACCCACCCCCCCCCCCACTACACCACTAGCTACAACAATGCCATAGTGGCAGCAGGTCATCCCACATGCATCTTACATCCCGCCTGCAACATTATATAGTTAACGTACAGTACATAATCAATGGGAATAGTAACTAGTTACCTTGACTTGGCTATATGCCTGTTGCTGGCATACATCAGCACATGATATTATTCATGACATGATATTATTCATCTCCCTGGGATATGCAGCAATGTCAGGAGGTCAGGGTAATGTAACTTACCCCATAACGCCAATAATGGCAGATTTCCCAATCAGTGCCCGCAGTATTTGGATAGGCAATTTTATTTTTAGCAACACCCTGCCTTGCCTGCCACCTTTCAGACAGACACCAAACCTGATGACATTGTCCTGTGTTAATTGTTAAACCCAATAGTTTACATGATAATATTAGCAAAAACACTTCAAAGTTCAAACACTGTGTCATATAATTCCATTTAATATAATCATGGAACTGTTTGTATGAATGCAATGCACAATGTTAAATCAAAGGAGTGATACAGAGTTAATTAAACAGAGGGAAGTATTTTCATACAATCATACTCATTTTAAGTATGAATACACCAAGGCACCAATTATATTATTTAATTGTAATAAACAAAATAGGCTAACCAGCCACAGGTCCACAGTGGCACATCAAGCATTCTAGATATTTGAATATTATAAAAACTATCTATTAAATACTAAATAGTATGTAGACATGTTACATGTAGTATAAATCTAGATCCTCTAAACCTCTGTAAGTGGCCTTCTTGCGAAGTCTCTCGATACCATTTCTTGACAGTATAAAATCCATAAGAATGCTTAATTTATATACACTGCATATATATTTAATCTGTAACTTTTAGCACAAGAAAATAAATCTTTTTCAATTGATTTCAATGTAAAAAGTATCAAATTTTCGACAAATTCTACAATTTTATTTCTAATTGAA